TGTCTTATTTATTTTATAACTGGATATTTTTTTTTAAGATTTTATTTCTTTATTTATTTGAGAGAGAGAATGAGAGAGAGAGAGAGCGAGAATGAGAGAGAGAGAGAGCGAGCATGAGAGGCGGGAGGGTCAGGGGGAGAAGCAGACTCCCCGCTGAGCGGGGAGCCCGATGTGGGACTCGATCCCGGGACTCCAGGATCCTGACCTGAGCCGAAGGCAGTCGCTTAACCAACTGAGCCACCCAGGCGCCCCTTATAACTGGATATTTGTACCCTTTACTCCCCTTCTCTTATTTTGCCCATCCACTTACTCTCTTCCCCTCTGGCAACTACGGGATTGATCTCTGTATCTAGCAGTCTGTTTCTGTTTTGTTTGTTTGTTTTGTTTTTTAGATTCCACATGTAAGTGAAATCAGATGGTATTTGTCTTTCTTTTTGGTTCTCCCCATTTTGATCTATAGATTCAACTTAGTTCCATTTACAGGCTCAGCAAGATTTTCTTGTAGATATCAACAAGCTGGTTCAAGTTGCAAAGCACTTTTGAAACAGAAGAGCAAAGTTAATTTGGATAATCGCACAATAGAGAAATCTAGGTGATAGTTAAATGAGAACTCCCTGTACTGTAAGTCTAAAATTATCCAAAGTAAAGTGTTTTTAAAAATCAAGTATAATTTATGAGGCTTTATAATAAAAAATGGTACCTCCTGCCCTGTTGTTTCCCAGCCTGGATTTTTCACTCCTAAAATAGCCTTCTGATATTTTACCTACATATTTCTAAATAAAATGGTTTTCTTGCCATTTTTTAAAATTAACTTTGAGACATTGTCTGTAGAGTTCCTTCTGTGGAAGATCAAACTATGACTGTATGGCTGCCTTTCAGTCCCACCTACTCTTCTGTTCCCCAGTCTACTCAATGTGGTTACAATTTTTGTTTAACATTTTATATATGCATATAAATACACATTCACATGTGCATATGCACGGGCATGCGCGCGCGCACGCGCGCACGCGCACACACACACACACACACACACACACACAGACAAATGAGTATGTGGACGCTATTTGAACTGAGCCATGTAATGTACTATGATTGTCTCTGGTAATTTGTGTTTGTTGGTTTTCCTGAGCTAATCATTGACAATTATTTTGATTGCTTAGTTTTCTATGCAACTATCACCAACTGACTGCAAAAATTTCTAAAAGCATTGTAATTCTTCTCACAAATCTGTCTCTACATCAGATTATCTTCCAATCCCATTTATTTTTTCTTAGAGACACCACCCATGAGCCCATTTGTTCTCTTTCCCTTGAGACTGGTTCTCTCTAGATCTGCAGAGCTGCTGTTAGCCAGGGACTTCCCATCACTGTGATCCCAGGAATTCCATTCTTGTTTGGTTTGGTCTATGTTTTCAAGCTAGAGGCTTTTATCAAATGGGTATAAAGTCATGTTCAGTAATGAGGCATTGAAAAGCTGACTGAAACTCTGCCTGTCTGAGTGGTGTATAGATAATTTGATGTGAATGGAGGTATTTGAGATCCAAGCTTTTTAGTAGTTGTATGTCTTTTTTCCCCTGGGCTGATCTGTGTCCCCAGGAAAGAATGGCTGGTGTCCCAGGGGAAGGGTTGGAGAGGTTTTCCCTAGCACTTTCCACCATTGCTCTCAGAGCAGCCGGTTTGACTTTACTTTTGTCTTATTCCAGGGGTGGGTGGGCTACAGGGTAGTAAATATCTCTTTTTTTTACCCTGTTCTATACCCCATCTTCAGACATATCCAGTACCACCAATTTCTTTGCCTTCAGAGTCTGTGAAGGGAATTGGATGCTTCCCAAAGATCTCTTTTTCTAGACACTTAAGTTTGAACTTTCTTTGCCCTTCTAAGTCATTTATCATTTACGCATCTGCTTTGCAACTTCCAAAATACCCTGTTTTATCTGCTGTAGACTCTTCTCGTTCTTTTAAATTCTATCCTTTTAGTTGAGTATTGGGGAGAAGGTGAACATAAAGATGTGTTCATCTTGCTATGTGTTAACCATTAAGGCAGCTTCACTGTCTTCCTTGTAAATGATGCTGTTATGGACTTGCTTTCAATACCAGTGCCATTTTCTGGCTTGGGTTCACTGTAGCTCCACTGACTCACATTGTTCAAATGAAATGATAGATGTGTGTGAAACAAGAGAAGACCATTTGTGTTTTGCCTAGTATGGAATTAACTGTGTGGTCACGCCTACATTGTGGTAATTTGTCTCGTCAGTAGCTGTTAATCTAATAATAAGTCAAGTGGTTCCTATTTAAATTCATCAACAGGGTTCAAGTTTTATGAACAACAGTTTTAAAATATCAAAAATATTATATCCATTCACAGTGGATGCTGAAATAACTCAGCCCTCATTTTAAGGTCTATAAACATGGGATTTGATCCTCTGTATTTATGCAACCCAATTGCATCTTAGTTATTTTTATTCTATCACATATATGATGGGAAATATGTTGGGTTAAACTTTTAGTTCACTCACAGCCTTAACTGTGATCTTGCAGAGTAGATTTTCCCAATATTGAACACTCTACTAAGCTAAAGATAACTTTGGCTAATGAAAGAACTAAAGTGAAAAGCTTGCACTATGTTTCTGATTTGATGATTTCATTACAATCAAATCAGTGTTTTCTGCTATCTCTGTTCAATATTAATTTCTGGGATGCCTACCTAAATTCAATTTATTAATTCACTTGCCAAAATTCTACTATAGATGCCTTATGGCTTTATTTTCATAACATTTAGAAAGGGTCAAACTCAGAGAACATAAATTTTCTCCAGGAGGTTCAGTTGACATTTTAATGTGGACTACATTTGAACTCAAATGCCACACGCATTTTTAAGACTGGTTCCTTGGATTCTCTCACTGGTACATTATGTTTCTCACTATCCTAATTCTTTCACATTGCCTCATGTCTTAAATGAACCTGATTTTGAAGCTTTTTACATTTTACTTCCTGGGCTAATCACAGATTTGTAGGGAACCACACAGATGTTGTTAGTGTGTCTCTATAAATGATATCATACATTGATAAAAGTAAGGCAAACACTATGTTACTTAAATGTTTTAACCACCTCTAAATAGCCAGGTAGAAACATGATTTCACTGTACCATTTTTTTCATACCCTCTTTCATTGATCTTATGAAGATATCTATCTATCTATCTATCTATCTATCTATCTATCTATATTGGTTAGCCAGTAAAATCAGGGGAAAGCAAAAAAGAGACTTAACTGACAAAATGCTCATGTACACCCAGAGCTAAGTGAAGATGGAATTAGGGTCTTTGAGAACACAACTCATCACTTCCTCTCTCTATAGTGAAGACACATTGCCCTGCATCATACTCCATTCCCATTCTGTCATCTGGGGCTCAGCACCCTCAGAGCTTTCTCATGTCTTTTCTGGATTGTTCTTCTGCCATGTACCCTGCAGATACAGTGATATAAACAGGGTATATTATTATACCTTACCATAGGAATCTAACCAACCCGATTTTCTTACCACTTCTTCCAAAGCACCCTTTAGCCACCGCCCCCCCCAAAAGAACCCGCTTTAATCCTGCCTTGGCATGTGGCATTCTCTCCGTGCTGGAATGTCCCCTCCCCTCCTCACTCTTGTCTCTCTTTGCCTGATGAACTCTTACTCATCCTTTAAGACTCTGTTTCAAATGTCACCTCATCTGTGGACCCTTCCTTGATTCTCTTAGACAGAGTTAGTTTGCTTCTTCTATAGGTTCCCACAGTACTGTTTTGAGAAATCACCATTTGTGGTTTGCCTTCATGGCTCCTGCCAGAGGGTGAACTCCTCTGGGATTGGGTTTGTGTTTTCAGGACCTAGCGTGGGTTCTTATTCACCGTCGGCTCTCAATACGTTGTTCACAGACAAGCGGTTAGTGAGATGAAGAAAACAGTGTTGAGTGAATAAATGCCTGCATTTTAAAGTAAGATCCAGACCGGTGCTGAGAATTGTCATTAAGATTCTGTATCTTGTTATTGTCTTTATTACACCAGCATGTGCACTTTTTCTTAGAAATATTTAAGACCAAGCTCCCATAGATGGGTCTTAATCTTAGAAACTGCCGAACAGGAAAACTGCCTTCTTATCCCCAGTAATTCAGCAAAACAAACTTAAACTTTATGTCGCAACTCTAGAAAAGAGCGTGGATTCACTGAATGTAAGAAATGAAATTGCAGATGAAAAATAAATACGGGATATGTAATTCAGTTGATTATTTTTGTTATAAAATTCTATTGGTGCATGGAAATAGGAACAGATTTTCAGGGAGTTTGCTTATCAAGTAGAGATGACTATAGAATCTTGAAAATTGTTGAATTAAAAGCAAAAACATCATTTTGATCATTTAAAATATGTGAGTTCAAATACAATAATAAATAATAATACTGAAGGCTTGTTTATGAAACATTTTATCCTTCCAAAGCCTGGGAAGGATTTTCAAATTGTTTTAGGAGAACTTCTGAAAATATTAGTCCATGTTAGAAACAAAATCACATACCAGAAGGGCTGCTTTTTTAATTTAAGCTTATGATCTATCTTCTCCTAATAAATGTTTTTTTTTTAAATTAATAAAATCCTGGAATATTTACTGAGGATTGTCTATAATGACTCTTTAAATTGGAAACTTGGAATTCTCAAAAAGGTATTTCAGATGTTTGTTATTGGGGTGGTGTTTAGTATTTGCCCTCACTAGAATAATAACCCAGATTTCTAGTCATTGGAAACGTTTTTTTTCTTAAAGAAAAGCATTTATTATTCATAAGATTGATGCAGCATGAAGATTCTGATGGTACTTTGGTGTGTAAGACACATCTGGTTCAGATCTGTGGAGTACATAGTCACTGTTGGGTTTTTTGTTTTGTTTTGGCTATATCTTCAAAGTGGTTTATTATCCACCGAGAGCCTAATGAATCTATAATAAATGTTCTGCTTATTGTGTCACTTGTAGGTACTGTGGTCTTTGGAACTGGGTCACTGGATTTCTGAGGAACCGTTTGAACTTTCTAACTACTTCCCTGCAGCTCCTGTAAGTCAGATGTTATTTTATTATGGTAAATACAATTCAGAATTCTCAGGAAATTATTATTTGCATAGATATGGACTCAGGTTTTGATTAAGTCAAGACCAATTATGCTCGCAGTTAAAAACACATTTTCATAGAACTTTTCATAATACTTTTTTATCCGTTTGTGAGAACAAATGTGGGAATGTGAGAATATTCTGCAAAAAATCGTATGGAATGAAATCTTAAAGAATTTTAATTATGAAAGTCCTCAGGATTGAGAAAAAGAAGAAATGAAAAAGGACTAGATTCTTGAGATGGTATGATGTCTTATTTACTGCTTTAAGAAATAAAGCTGTTACTGCTCTTAGAGATAGAACTGATAGGTATAAAAGTCATGGCCTCCTGGCAACATGATGCGGTCTTTATGTTCTGATGCTCTTCCCAAATGCAGCTTCAACTTTACTGCATTTTAAATTTTAAATATTTTGAATGCTTAATGGAAGTTCTAATTTTTTAAAAGATTAAGTAACAAATAGGTAATTTCAGGTTTAATTGGAAGCAGGATCATGTAGATGTTGGCTTTCATTTTCAAAAAAGTTACCTGGTTTGTGACACAGTTTATGCTTTTGGAAGATTAATACCTCAGAGAGAAGTGGCAATTTTTATCTATGACCAGGGCTGGTGTTATTTGCTGTTATTTGAAGTATGCGTAGGACGTTACCCTCTCATCACTCATTTATCTAGGTTGTTGGGTTGCTTTTATTTTCATTTTTAAGATTATCGTTTTGATTTTCCCTCCACTTTATAAATATTTTCTTAAGGAGAAAAAACATTCCTCTTGGCAAGACTCTGTTTGATGTACCACCTAAGGAATTGAAGTGTAAAGACACAAATCCCCCCTACTCTCTGTCATAAGAGAGTATGCATAACTCTGTGTAACACAGTGCGGCGTGTCTTTGAAATGCATTTCACCTGCCGGCGTGGGCACACGGTATCAAGTATGCTGTTGCCAATTTTTCCCATCTTATCACTGGTCCACCTCAGTGTCTGCCGTGTGGTCATCGAGACATCACAGAAACTTAGGGTTTCTTTTGCAGTGGAGATATCTTCTTATTACCAGTTAATGTTTTAACTTGGTACAAAGCTGTGCTCTGTTGAATTTATAAAGCCTACTTAAATGTAACAAGAGAGACTGTTCAAAAATGGGGAGGTTCTTTCCTCAATATATTTGTTGGGGAAGCACGGTGAAGTGGTAGAGAAAGTGGCGTGCCGGACTCTTCCAGAGTCCATAAACTGACTTGAAACACGCAACAAATATTAGTATTCTCAAACGAAGTTGGGGTGGAGGCATATAGAGGGAAAATAAATTACATAAGAAAAAAACGGAATAAAGAAAAAACATAGTTGAAGAACCCCATAAGGTGAAGACAGACGTGAAGTAACTGCTGGTTTCAAATTTGGCCCTTAGCTTCCTAGCAGCAGCTGACTCCAAGGTAAATACGTGAGAAATTGCTTCCAAATTATAAAGCATTACACGAGGTACATTAGTGTTAATTGTACTATGAAAACTTCAAATGGAGTTAAAACTCTAGGGGTTTAAAGTTTTTCAGCCCTGAGCTTAAATCCATGCTCTCAGAATTTTCTGTAAAGATTTGAATCTATTATAAACATCAGATTTTGGTTTTGCACTCCAAAATGCTTTTTTTTTTAAGTGTGCTGGTGGACATTAAAAAAAAAAAAAAAGACTTTAGGGGTGAATCTAGCTTTGTATGTGCTTTAAATAAAAGGTTTTTTCAACCACAAACTAAACTGTAGCCTACTTCTTTAAAGTATAACTTAATAGAAAAAAAAAAAGACCTTTGTAATAGAATAGTGAGGAAAACATAGTAAAGTCTCTTTGTCATGGAATTAAATGTATAATTTTCTTCATCATTAAAAATCGAATCTTTCCTTGTCATGAGGCACAATCAGTTGTTTCCGAATCAAATCACAAAATCGTATTATCATGAAGGTTAAATGTAATTATCTAATAATTTATATTTAATTACTAAAAATACCTTCATATTTAACAGCCAGGCAGAAAAAAAATAGTACAATCTTCATATAAACTGAAAGAACACACATTTCTATTAATTTCAGAGATCCTGGAAGTTTTCACCATTTAAACTTGAAATATATATTTGAGCATTAACTTAAAACTATGCTGTCAACACATTCGTAAATATGCTGATTTCAAAATGAAAGTTTAAAGCACCTAAGAGGAGGAGCAAAAATGCGTTAACTATGTTTTTTCTTTCTCCAAGTATTAAACTGCAAATAAGCACTTCCCAGAAAAATCCCTGAATATATAATATATTTTTATGGCTTAGAGATTTTTTTCTTCCTTTCAATTATGATAGTGGTGCTGAATTCAGGACATATGGATATTTACACAATCTATAAACAGGGCTTAGAAAAATGTAGCTCCAAGGTTATCTCTACTGTATAGCCTAAGTGTTCTGTTTTCCAGTTATTTACGGATGAAGCCGGCACAACATTCTTGGTTGTGACAACAGAGTCTGTAAATTGTCAGTCTTAAATTTGCAGGCTTAGATTTATCTTCACATAGGCATTCTACCAGGTCACAATACCAGGGCTGTGCGTCGGTGCATGAGTGATGCAGGTTTGAGTGAGGAGGTTTTACGGGGCTCTAAGCTGGAGCTCGTGGATCCCTGTGGCACCTGAGCGCATGCTGCCTCTCTGAGGTGGACGAGGGCACAGTATGCAGCCTTGTCTTTTAAAGCTTCAGGATTAGGTCTCTGAAAATAAGAGTAGTCGGCCACCACTCCTCAGGTGTGTGCAGGCATCTAGAAATCTGCTGGTCGGATCATCATGGTTGTGGCCTTGAGCGAGTAGCCTGAGCCTTTCCAGTAGTACCACTTAATACCGTTGAACTTATTTGTGTTCTGCTTCTGTGGGTAGTACATTCCGTTCAAGTTGGAGGGACCACATGCATCAAACCACCAGCCTGTGAAAGTAAGACGCAGAAGGAATTAGGAACTAGGTAACCCCAACTCTGTCTCACCGTGGCATTAGAAACACTCAACTAACCCCCCCGTCAAATTCCGTGCATTTTAAGTAGACACATGCAAAGATTCAGGGGTATAGAATGTGCCCCACTGACAGATGAGAGTGATGGTTTTCCAGCTTTACCCAAGTTAAATCCTAGTTCCATATGGCAAATGTTTTTATGGGCTGTTGTACTCCATTTTCCTTGTGTGGAAAGACCAGTCACCCATAGACATGCATGGCACGTCTTCCCTGGTGCTGATTTAGTGATCACCAGAGTACAGTGGAAAGTGGGGATAAGTCAAAACACTGAAGAATGGTTGGATGATCCTCACTGGATTACTTTCTGGTTCCAGCAACTTAGTGGACCAGACGGATTCAGGCTTCCCTCCTTCTACCAAACATTTTTTTTTTTAATGATTCCAAATTTTAAGAATTCAGGGGAACTAGATGAAAAGGAAATCTTTAAGTCCTAGAGACAAAAAGGAAATTGAAAGTGATAGTGGTGTGCTCACTGAGGTGAGGGGAGCTGCCTGGCACAGCAGCAGGGGGAGGGGTGGGTCTGCATCGACACCTGAATGGCCATGCTTGGGGTTTTGCTGCTTTTACCTAGAAACAAGAGTGTGCCAGAAGCCCTGGTTTTCAAGGAGAAGGAATGACCTAGATCTACATAATCTAAATAAATCTCAGACATTGTGTTGAGAGTACACATACAGTACGATGCCATTTACGTAAGATTTTAGAATATAGGAAAAAACAACTGTTCATGGTATCTGCGTACCTAGTACAATAAATAACTAATGTGAATGAACCTGAATTCATTGCTCGCCCCACAGGCAGGTATTGGCGGGACAGCTTTAGTTGTATCTGTGAAGTTTTATTTCTTTAAATAAAAAATATTTTGATGTAATGATTATATTTACACATTGGACTGTGATGATCGATTATTTCATCCAGTTACAGCTCATGTCTTGAGCGGATTCAGATTAACGTCGATTTGATAAGACATTTGTGTGTGTTATTCAGAATCCTTGAAAGTATTCAGGAATGTTGCAGATTTATAGATCTGTCTGCCCTAGAGCCTGTTGGCTGACGTAACTATAGAATTTGCTGTCCCAGCAAAAACCTAGCTGATCATTAGCCTGGTTTGCCCGGGGCCCAGACAATGGGCTGGGGCCTGAAATCCTACTGCTTCACTTTCTCTCTTGGGCTGTGTGTTTCTCCCCAGTGTCTCCCACTTCTACTCCCAGCCCTAAATCTTGATTCGAGTAAATAAATATATTGTTTCCTTGGTTATTAATGCACTTCTCCTCGTCTCTTGAGTAGCTCATGACATACGGGTGGTCTAAAAACCACCGCCCTCTTGAGTGGACAGCTGGGTTCAGTGTGGGAATGGCAGATGGGAAAAAAGGATTCGGTACATTTGGTCCCCCCAACCCACCCTTTTTCCCCTTTTTGTTGGCTTCAAAAAGGTTGAGGGAGACAGCTTTTACACAATCAATATAATAGCTTTCTTTCATTGAAATAATTATTGAAATAAATATGGCTAATAGAGAAGACCTGTGTTGCCCGTATATATTATGTAGATACATATAAATATATTATCTAAAGAACCACAGGACCGATTTTTTAATGGATTCTAATTCTTTCAGTATTATTTTAAAGACAGGAAAATTATTGAATTTCAAACTATTTTCATAAATAAATCCTTTCTCTTGACCGTAAATGATTCTTCACTGACGTGCAAACACATGAAAAGCTTAGGTCTTGTTTATGTAGTTACCTTATATTTGTCAAATAAATTGACCACAGCTCTTACCTTTTTCTTTCCTGGGTGAGTAAAGAATGAATTTTTGGCAATATAATTTCCGGTCTCTACAAATTAAACCCTGCCAACTTCCTGTTTGCCTTTACGTTGTTTATACTCTCAGCAGAATTTTTGTTGCTGGTTTAAGTCTTTCAATATTTTTGAG